AAATAAAATTTTAACAGGTTTCTTGGGATATCCTTAGTTAAATCGGCTTACTATTTGTCACTTTCTGTAATGTAGAACCAAAGTGAACTTTTAGATTTTAATGAATATGTATCTATCTATGCCTTTTTTATTGGTATCTCTCAATATATGACTGGTATAAAATATAGATAGTATACGAGATTGGGCAGGTCGATAATGGAGAGTGACAGTGTGCCCGTTGATACTTGTCTGTGGGTGCCAGTAGGTGGTGGTGGGTCGGGAGACGGTGTGCATGTACCCGACAACAAGGTATAAGTCGCCCTCACTGTGGGTGTGGCCCGTGGGTGTATGTGGGGCTTCATGGCCACGGGGGAGGGTGGGGGTGAGGGGCACTAACTTACCTGCTGTCACCGCGAGAATGGCATGATGATATTACAAACGTGCAAACAAAATGTGGGATTCGTTCAAGGGGAGTCTGATTTATTTGGTATTCTTAAATAAATGAATTGAGGGCATTGTATATTTATTTTCTGATGTAGTTAATAAACATACTATGCTTTCGTATCCCATAAAAATGATACTTATGAGTTATGTTTAGAAACGTTATTTTTCACTATTGTGTCACAGGCTAGAGCAGACCGACCCTCACCCAGTACAACAGTCATACAACTCATCTTACATATTCAGTAATACTCTTCTCCCAACTCCTTATTCTAACTCTAACTCACTTAAATTGGGCGACATCTCATAACTTTTAAAATATAAAACCTCTTTATTAGTGTAATACACAAATGATTTTTATGGTGGTTATTTCAAGATAATAGCATTATTGGCAACGATCTAATATCATTTGGTACAATTGACAATGCAACAGAGCTCAACCTTAGCCACTTGTCATGGGGGACTTTAACTATGGCGACATCGACTGGAGAAATGAAACCACGCCATATGACTTTAATAATCCCGCTACCCTTTTTTGTAGAAACTCTGAGAGAATTTTCTATTACAACATGTTAAAGATCCGACTCATTACAGAGGGGAGCAAACACCCAAACCGCTGGATCTCATCTTCACTAACGAGGAAGGTATGGTGGCCAAGCTGGAACACCTAGCCTCCATTGACACCAGTCACCACATAATATTGTCCTTCAGATTTAACTGTTACTTACATCATGACAAAACCAGGTCCAGGTTCAAATATTACAAGGGTAATTACAGCTGGATGAGGGAGATGAAGAGTACTCCCTGGCCTGACTCACTAAGATAAAAGAACGCAGACACTATGCTGAATAGCATGGCCAGTAAAGGGAACCATTTGATCGATAAATATACTATACCCAAGACCAAACCCAGTGCCTCCAGGAATACAAGGAGACTGTTACACATTAACCACGTAGTGGTCGACAAAGTTAAGAAGAAAACTCATAAATTCGAGACGTGGGTTAGGAAAAATGAGTAGGACAGGAGGATGTATGCCAGATCCAGGAACCAAGCAAAGTCGGAGTGTAGAAGGGCTGAAAAAGAGTTCCAGGGGCAGATTGCTAGTGGGGTCAAGTCAAACCCAAAGGCGTTTTAGCACTACACAAAGTCAAATTTAAAAACGCGAGTAGGTGTATCGGACCTGAGGCTTGAAGATGGTATTTACTTAGATTCTGACCAGGACAAGGCGGAAGCACTGAACAGATTCTTTTCCAAAGTGTTCACAAGAGAGGATGCGAACAATCTTCCTGCATTTGAAGACAAGAGGGTTTGACACAGTGCTGACCCACAATGTGTTCTCAGAAGAGGATATAAGAAATAAATTGTCAAAGCTAAAGTTTCATAAGAGTCATGGCCCTGGCATGTTGCATCCCAGAGTGCTAAGAAAGTTGCACAACAAGCGTGCTGAGCCCGATATTCAAGAAGGGCGATTGTCACTCCACGAATAATTATAGACCAGTGAGCCTGACCAGCATAGTGTGTAAGTACTTGAGAGCATTATAAGAGATACCATGATGGAACATTTACTACAAAACAGCCTTGTAAAGGACTGCCAACATGGTTCTATGCTGGGACACTCCTGCTTAACACAATTACTCAAAGTAGTGGATGTTTTGACCCAAATTCTGAAAAGGAGTGGCAATGTCGACAATATACTGTATATCTAGATTTTGCCAAGACTTTTGACAGTGTACCCTGTGAAAGGCTGAGAACTAAACTGTAAGGATACGGGATTTGGGGAAGTGTCCTAGCCTGGACCGGACACGTTATGCATGATTGCAAGCAGCGTGTGGTGATAAATGGTATGAAATCGTCATGTGTACCTGTGACAAGCAGGGTAGCACAGGGCAGTGTATTAGGCCCATTGTTGTTTGTTTGTTTCATAAATGACATGTGGGAAGCTATACACTCCTCCATACAAATGTTTGCAGATAAAGGCAAGTTATTCAGGGAAATTAAGAACCAAACAGACTGTGAAGAGCTACACAAAGATCTCTGTGTGCTTCAAAAGTGGTTGATGAAATGGATGCTAAGATTCAATGTCACAAAGTGTAAGAGGTTGCACCTGGGTCGTGTCAACAGTAAGGAGGCGTATCATATGTCCCAACAGGATGAAGAAACTGCATTAATGGAGACCGAATGTGAAAACGACCTGGGTGTGCATGTTGGAAATGAACTGAAGTTCTCGGGCCATTGTGAGAAGACGGTGAATCATGCAACTAAACTAGTAGGTCTTTTAAGAAGGTCGTTCAGATATCTAGATGATCTGTATCTCTTAACGATCTTCAAGAGTGAGGTGCTCCCCCGCATGGAGTACTGTCACCCCGTCTGGTGCCCGAGATATGCTAGGGACTGTCAGTTGATTGAAAATGTCCAAAGGAGGGCCACCAGACTGGTGCCTGCACTTCGGCACCTCAGTTATCCAGAGAGATTAGAGCGCCTGCAACTGCCTAGCTTATACTACAGACGGGCAAGGGGTGACCGAATTGAGGTGTATTAACATCTCAAAGGGCACTACTCAGTTGAGTGTCCATACTTGGAGCTGGCAAATGCCCACCCCACAAGGGGTCACAGCTCTAGGTTGAAGAAGTCGCAAGTCCAGAAAACTGGGAAGGCAAAATTTTGGAGTGAGAATTGTGAACCCTCAAACAACCTGCCAGAGAGCGTTGTGACAGCACCGAGTGTGAACCGTTTTAAGATCAGACTTGACCAACACTGGAGCAAGTTCAGACACATTCAGGAGCCAGTGCATGCCCAGTACTTGCCAACAGTGCGTAACAGACCGACTACCCAAGCGGCTAACGAGCCGATCAGTGGTGAAGACGATAAAAGTAAAATAAACTGTGGAGAGTCGGCCAGTTTTCAGCAGCCTTTACCCATGGCTGCAAAAACACAAATATTTTTGAGTAGTGATGATGACACTGGCTATACAAGTGTCCAGTTAATTAATTTAGACTGTTAAACTTATTGTGTTGACAACTTTTGGGGTAAGAAATACACACACACACACACACACACACACACTAAACATAGATGGTCAGAACACGTCTTGGCTTCAAATGAGTTTGTTACAACTGTTTCCCGTTTCAAATATACATACATAAAAAAAATTTCTTATCTAATTTTTCATTTTCATTTTACATTTCTGCCAGTTTTGGCCTACCAAAAGTTACTGTGGACACCTATGTAATTACCATAAAAAAAAATGCCCACAAATATTACCGTAATTGGAGAAACAGCACATTGTAAAATTTCTCAATTATTAATTGAACCACCACCCAGTTCCGGAATGTAAAAACAAAGAAATTCATCAGGTAATGTTTCCTAAGTCATAATTTACTGTCAAGATGGTTTCTTGAAGGCTAGGTGGGAGTTTGTCCTAGGAGAAGGTGTCACACTAGTGTGCCTTTGTTAATTGTTAATGGGCAAGTGTAATTATTAACCTTGTTACGAGCTTAAAGACCTTAGTTGTTGAAGCACAGTGCCGAGAGATCATGAACAAGCTCCTGATAAAACTTTCATAGTGTAACGATACCATATTATCCTCTCCTGGACTTAGTGAAAGTTACAATACAATATAGTCACTGTTGGATTTACAAACGTGTCTTTCTTTGAAAAAAAAAATATATATATATACTATATATATTAAGTTTGAGTGCCAGTATGCACTCCAACATTATTGAAGCACAGTTCCCTCTGTTGTCAGTGCTGGTTGCCATTCCCCCACCCCCCAAAAAAAAAAAACAGTGGCAAATCGAAATTAAGCACCCCAACTTATATCACCCAAAGTTTAACCACCCTAATGCTAATCTGACCAAACCCATCTTTCTAAATCTAACCCATCCTAACTTAACCTTCTCCCTCTCAGGTAAAATTAGAGTGGTTAATCTTTAGATGAAATAAGTTAGGGGGGGAGGGGGGTCTAATGTCCAGGTGACTCGAGACACATTCCCACTTGTTGATGAGCGAGGTCTCCCACAAGTAAGGCAGTGTGTGGACAATTTTTATGAGACACACCTGTAAAAATAAACGAATGTTTGAATAAAGATAAAAAGAAGTAATTGTAATGTTTCTGATGTCTGGGGATGGATCTCAGTGAATGGGTTATTGTATAGGTGACTCCAGGATGGGTTGTTATGAGTTTGTTTCCTTCCCTTTATTGTACTGCAAAACCTAATCCCTTGTGTATGGGGTTGCCTCTGAGTTGAATAAAATTGTCTGGTGTCAGCCAATTAAAATGTGACAACCCATTACTGAAGGGGTTAAGAGCAGTTTACTTTCCACTACTGAAGCCTATAAACCCCATCTTCTTATCTTCCTGATGTCACCATAGTTCATTCCTTCCCTTTCATACTGTAAGTCTTCATGTTTAATTTTTATCTTCAACTCTTCATATATTTTTTTAATAATCTGGCAAACTATTTTAGATCTTTGTGGGCGTCTATGTCTTCTCTTGTTATATTTGATGACCAACAAAGAGTGTTTTAGTAATCTTCTTGTGACAAATTCTGGATTGTGGAGGGAGAACTTCTTATTGCTCAAAATATACTTTATTCACAAAATATATAGAAAACAGCATATACAGCTCCTCCTCCTTAACTTTAACAATTACAATAAAAATTAAATCATACATATGTCAATACTGAAATTATGATTGCTCTTCTCACTCACCACAGGAAGACGATAGGAAGAAATGTTTCAAACAAATAATCACGATTTTTGATAATATTGGCTTATATCCCAGTCATTGAGTTTGAATATCGTAGACGGGTTGAGTATGGTGACTGTGCCAGACGTTGATAGTGTTGAATCTCCTGCAGGCTGTTCTATGGTCTCACTACACATCATGCCGTTACTGTCGGAAATTTCTGTCAATGCCGTGCTCGGCACTCCACTACGAGATAAAATACTGGTGGCCTTACTCTCCAAATTCAATGGAAGTATTGTTGATGATGTGTGCGAGTCATCTATAATTGTATTAGCTGGCAGGAGAGTAGTAGTAGAAACTGATTGCTGAACAAGAGGAATTTGCAAAGATGTGGAGTCAGTATGCATGGACACCATCATGTTGACACCCTCACCCGTTACTGTGAGCCGCTCTAGAGGAGTTAATGACACAATGTCAGTGTCGCTGCCAACATCTACACTTGAGATAATAATGCCAGTATCAGTATTCTCTGACAATGTGTTTCCTTCTACATGAGAGTTAATGGTGTGCTCTGAAAACTGTTCAACATTCTCAAATGTTAAGCAACACATACTGCAGTACAGATGTTCTTCAACTGTTCCTTGCTTCTGTTTCTTCTCAACAGAAAGAGTCTTGTGCAAAGTGTCATCTGTGAGGTTGAAAGACAGCTTATACCCATCACAATAAACATGTTCCGAAGGATCACAGACGGGTTCGGATAATTTCTTCTTGTGGTTGCGGGTCTTCAGATGACTGCTGTATTTACCCTCGGTTGGGAATGAGAGATTACAATGTTTACATTTATATACACTTGTATCTTTCATATGTATCCTCATGTGATTCCTACAGTTAGAGATATATCTAAATACTTTACCACATTCTTTACAAGAATATGGCTTTTCACCTGTGTGTACTCTTTCATGGCATTTGAGATCATCCTTCCTCACAAACTTCTTGTTGCACACTTGACAGACAAACTGCTTTTCCTTCTGGTGAATCAACATGTGTCTGGCCAGTCTTGACTTAATTGCAAAGCATTTTTTACACACTTTACACTGATGTAATCCAGGACTTTCTGCCATGTGGATTTTTTCATGGATTCTTTTGTCCCGCTCCCTTAAAAATGTCTTCTGACAGTACTCACAATGGTGAGGTTTGTCATTGTTGTGGATCTTCATGTGATCTTTTAGAGAAAATTTATTACAAAGTTTTTTGTTGCAGATAGTGCAAATACATTCTTCAGTATGTTGTTGTCTATGTTTAACAAGATTGGATTTTGTGCTGGTCAGAAACCCACAGATATCACACTTAAATGATTTATCTTTAGTATGAATGAGCATGTGTTCAACTCTGTGGCTATAAGCCCTGAAAGCCTTATCACACACCGGGCACTTAAACTTTCTCTCAGGCTTTGATTCATTTCTCTTATCTACCTTCCTCATAGACGCCAGGGATAGAGCTCGTGCAACAATACCATTTTCGTTTGTCTTTAAGTCAACACCATTTAAAACCAATAAACACTGACCATCTTCATCCTCTATTACTTGAGAAGGAATGGACTTCAAAAATACCTTGACAGCTTTGTTGAAATTCTGAATGGTGTCCCGGCACACATCCACAAACTTACAAAGAAGTTTCTCGATGGTCTCAAACTTCTTGAAACACTTAGAACACACAACATCACTGAACAAATCAATGTCAGCAACAGATCTCTTTAAGATGTAACCCAGGAGATTTATCAGAGGCTCTGCATTTCCCACCCGGGTGAATGCACTGAAGCTCCCGCCAGGTGACCCACATGTCAGACACAGGCTCTCAGTTTTCACAGAAGACTCCTGAAAAATATTAACATCACAATAGTAAAAAGAAAAATAATTATAAAGATCATGGTACTACAGTAATAAAAATAATATTTATAATAATACAGTACAGTAGTAGTAATAATAATAATAATAATAATACAGGTCCATGATCCCTTATCCAAAACCCTTGGGGCCAGATGTGTTTCAGAATTCAGAATTTTTTGGATTTCATAACGGTACATATACCTTATACAATACAGGTATGATGGTAACCCTAGCGGGGTCTGTGGCAGCACCCCGTAAGCAAACACATTAATATTTCTGCAACGAACCGCATGAATATGAATTAAAAAGCACATACAAAGTACTGTACAGTATACCAGTAATAGAATTAACAAAACATTAAATATAAACAAAATACAGTACTGTACAGTATACTGTACAATAATAAATAAAAAACCATAAATTATTTTAATACTTAATTTGAGGTTTGTAATGACTACATTTAAATTGTTTGGTATCTTGCAAGGATTCCAGCAATGCAAGTTATATTCTGCTAAGTTTAGTCTGCCATTTTATAAGATAAAAACGTTAAGCCTAAAATCACCTTCACCCTGGCTGGGAGGATGGGGGAGGGAGGGGGAGGGGAGGTATAATAATAATCCTTGTTTTATGGCCATTTTCCACAATTGTTGAGCTCCCAAAAGAATGAAATGGAAAATCAACAATCCTTCTACTGTATTTACTTAACTATGACTTTTCAAATGTATATTTTTAAATCTGTCAGAGGCACTATGAATAACACAGTAGTAACACTGAAAATACAGTACAGTGCAGTGAAAAAATAAAAACACTTACGGCATAGTCAGTAAGCTATCCTGCCACACATTACAGTGCAGAGTTAGCAAAAGGTGAACATGAATAGTTAACAACTGATTTGTGTCTGGGCAGCATTTGAAAGTTCCTCAACTGCCCAATGTATGATATTTTTAAGTCATCCAGGCCTTCTCTCTGGCAAACACCAGTCATCTATTTATGTAATTTTCACCATTATCAAACTGCAAGAAAATACTGCCAGTATTCATGAATCTGTATTCATCAGAAATTTCATATCTAGGCCTATTCTGAAGAATAAAACGGGCTATCTTTTGCTTGATGACAATTCCTTATATAATTTGTTTTACCAGTACAGTACAGTAAATGTGAAGTGGATGGTAGTTCAGCCATTTCACTATCGTCCAACTTTGCAGCAGCAACAATTAGTGATCAAGAAGTTTCCTGGGAATAAACTGTAGCAGCCTCCAAGTCAGCTATTTTTATGAACTTTTAAGTTTTGCAGTCGAGGAACTATGGAGATGTTCATCAACCCGTTTAATAATGCTATAATCATGTGTCACGATATGGACTGGAGGCTTGCAAAACTTCTTATTACACTTCCAGCAAGTCTTGGTCGCATCAGCATTTATTTTCTGAGCTTTGTATATGTAATTCATATCAGCTACAAATTTTATTCTTCCCCGGGGGTTGTTAATGATGTGAGCAGACATGGGGCAGAAGCCAGGTTTCTTGGCTTGGCTTCAGCTGCAAAACTTTCTAAAGGCCTTGGCTTCAAAGCCAGAGGCATGGCACTGACTTTGAAGCCATGGGCATGGCTTTGGATATTCTTCTTCACACAGACACGCTGACCATATTATGATATTATAAGTGAGCTGATGCCTAACTTTTCTGTTCACACAATGACCTGACCTGCTAGGAAAGCCCAGGTGCATGTTACAGCCTCAGTGATGTCACAGTTGATCCCTCCTCTTTCTATTGGTCTATTCTCACAATGACGACTCCTGAACCTCGGACAAGCACCACCTCTGCCTCCTCAGCCCCAGGTGCTGTTGGCTGAACTACAGTATCCTCTAAAAATCTTATGATTCGTTGCAATGCTTTTCTGTGATTGTTGACTGTCAATTAATATGTTTATATGTTATGTATATTTTGTAGAGCTTTGCATTTCTGACTTGTTTTGTGTAATGAATTAAATAAATTAATGAAATTAATAAAATTGAATGAGGATGACTAAATAATAAAATAAATGAATGAATGAAACGAAAAAAATCAATGAAAACGGTTAATTTATAAAATAACACGATTAATACAGTACAGGGTACTATAAAATTTATGAAGATAGATTGTTACTACAGTGGTCCCTCGGTTAACGAGATTTCGGTTAACGATTTGCCTTCCATAAGATTCTTAACTTCGGTTAACGAGCAATCCCTCGATTAACGAGTTTTTTACGAGCCGACTTCAACATGTTTTTGCTTGCACTTGGCGGTCCACCAGCTGTAGTATTATTCCGCCAATACAGTAATCGGTTTTAGGGCTTAAATTACTTACTATTTTAGTAAATATCAAGAAGTTTATACTATTCAATAATTTTAAAAGTTTAATATTAACTTTTTTAGTAATTTTAACAATTATTGAACATAATTGAAGGTAAAGAAACTAGTTTCTAGCGTGCCATCCAGCCTGTTAACACACCAGACAGGCAATAGTCTCTCTCTGTTTTCAGTGGAGGTAACATCTTGCTTGAGACTCTCTTCAACTAAACGCTTTTTTTCTGTTTCCAAGCAAATTATTGGTCATTTTGAAATATATTTTACATATTGACAATATATAATGCAGTGCAGTGTTGATTTAAAGAAAATAATCTTGAAATACACCAAGAGAACTAAAATTTTATGGGTGAAATGGTGCCATGGGGTGACTTCTCTTCCACCCCAATGCCTTCTCTTCTTCCTTCTCCTCCACCCCCATTCTAATTCCCATCATCATCATCATCATCATCATCCAGGAGCCTTCTACGTACACACCTCAAAGTAAGTGTACTTTTCTACCTTTTTTGTTGAATTTAGGCAATTTTCGGTGAGCTGGAACCAATTACCCAAAAACCCATTGAAACAATGGTTTCGGTTAACGAGTTTTTCGGTTATCGAGCAACCTGCTGGAACGAATTGTGCTCATTAACCGAGGGACCACTGTACTGTATAAGCAACTTTTCTCAGTCTACAGAAGGAGTCAAAATGGGTGGCAGACAAAACCCCCATTTTCTATTACGACAAAAGTCTCCCATTTTCTATGTTAATGTTTCTTAAGATGAGTTGACTTGTAAACTGTATAACAACACGGGTGAAATTAATTAAACATCCAATGATAATGTTGCTGTCTCTAAAGCAAAGGGTTTGTTTGAAAGCATTCAGTCTTTGTCTTTTGTAGTTTCAATGTTCGGTATGACATACAAGTACTCAGTACTGTATCATAAATGAAATAAGTAAACATAAGCAAAGTAAAGATGATGCTTTATTAATTTGCAAGATTTTTGATAAATTTTGTCTGCCATTGTGGGTTTCTTCTAATTCAGACATTTTATTTTTTCTTATGACACAATCTACACCATTACGCTAAGTTGCTAACACCTGAGATTTTGGGTTAAGAACCATACTGTACTTTTTTCTAGAAACCTGATGAATCACCTGTCATCATCTTGCATTTCTGGGTTTGTGCTATAAGCAATTTTTTATGGAAATTGCACATTTTCAGAGTCATCTAGAACTTGCTTTATGCACCTGGAAAGGAGTACCATAAGTAACAGGGCCATCACAGATTGTACCCTGGCTTTGCCATGCTAAGAAGCTCACACAGTATACAAGCTGTGAGATTTCCTCAAATAATCACTCCATCCAAGTAGCAGCTTTACAGAAATTAAATACCATTCTACCAGTGCCATGTGCAGATACAGTACTGTATAGGAGAAAGAGGATTTTACAGTACACTACATACAGTATACAGTATAGAAGTGATTAATGTGTGATGGTCTGTTAGATCACTAATACTGTACAGTATTATATACTGTAATATCAATTTGCAGAAATAAAACTTTTTAAATACAATATGCTGTACTAGGCTTCTGAGGACATTATTACATCAAGAGACTGTCTCAGTATCCAGCAGGCTAGACACATCTGTAACAAGGAATACAAGAATATGATCCTGACAATGACCTGACAGAGATAAGTTGGCTTTGTCACATCAAGGTAATATTATTGAGGTACCATTAATACTGTACAGCACCAATGTCAAGCATCAAGTACTGACACAGGGATATCAACATGACTAGTGAATCCAAGGGGGCCAATACTGTACTAAGGAGGCAGAAAAAATGAGTTCAAGCATCTTACTCCATTCTCTGGTGCCATGTTAAGGAAGAGGAACACCATATTCATAGCAGAACACATGTTAAGGAAGTTAAGAGAATGAATGACAGCAAATAAAGGGAGGATCTGTTGCTTTGATTCTGCCTAACCGAGACTTAACCCTTTAATGGTGTCCAACATAAAGTGATGTAAGCAGTAGGGGCAGCGACCTAAGTCAATGGACGTTTCATGTTCCTTGCGTTCCAGTTTTTGGACATACAGGTATCTGTAGTGTATAGAGCCAGATGAGGGACTCCTCACCTGCCATTTAAGGGTCAAGTGGGAAAAAGACAAAATAAATAAATAAAAATAGTTTTAGTAAGATCATACCTGAGTTAATTGCACTTTTTCTTCCACTGATACACCTGATTTGTTCTTTTCTATTAAAGGAATTGTCTTCTGGTGCAGCACTGAGCCTGCCACAAGGTAACCTCCACCATCAGTGGCAGCAGCTGCCATCCTGTCTGGGGAAGTGCATAACAGACAGGTAATAATATATACTGTACATGTACTGTAAATTTTTACCAATATTAAATATGAGATCCTGTATGCTTAAACAATAGTCACTTGGGGACTGAAAATCTTAACTAAATAAGCTGAAACAACATCGCTTCACCATAATCAGAGATAAACACAGAGTTCGAAACTCCCAGAAGGTAACTTCTGTGTGGTGTTAATAAATTAATTAACCCCTGAACCTAGAAAAGCAGCAACTTGAGCCTTGACAAGTACTGTATGTAAAAAAGGGTTCCATAGGTATCATTGCCTATTAGGAACAGCATGAAAACTCTGTACTGTATACTAACCCTTAAGCAGTAAGCAAGGAGACGGTGTGGTCAGTATTGTGCTCAACTGCCTTAACTTCCTCAACCTCATCAAGTCAGATACCCATTTACAGATGGAGTGGGAGTGATTGAACTAGCAACCTTTAAAACAGGTGACGAGCATTGTATCCACCATCAACACCCATGTTTTTAAATTTAAAAGGAGATTAACTTTTGAATGTCATGAGAAATGAATCATACATGAGGGGAGGCTTTAACTCAAGCTCTGATGACTGAACATATATACAGGGTGATCGAAAAGTCCATGTGCACTTGGAATAATTAACCTACAATGTTATAAGTAGAACAAAGTGAATAATTAGCTTTACAGCATGCCCTTACAATTCGCGGATTTTTAATTCACAGTCCTCGATTATTTGCAGATGACACCCTGGATGTACCCAAGAATATCTGCGGGTAGTTTTAAAGTTGCCGGCATTTTTCACTGGATTTACTGTTATTAATAGTGTTTACTAATAGAATAGTGCTTAACAGTGATTAATCATGTCATTGTAGCTAGGTTACCTCATCATTGTACCCACCAGGCTACTGGGCCAAGCTGTGAGGTGTTATGTGTTTTATCAACACGTGTTTTTGGGTAGATGTATGTAACCTTCTTCATTTATTTTTACTCAGTTACATGCACACACCATCCTACATACATATTGTGGAAAAGTATACAGTATTACACCACAATTACCGACATCCTACATGTTGGGTTGGCTAGATGGCCACGAAAAAAATTCTGTATGTTTGATCTACGTATCAACCCAGCTGGTGCAGATAGCCATTTGTTCTAGAGACAATAATTATCATGAGGAAAAAATTGTCGTATGGCAACTCAACTTCAATAACAAAGCACGGAGTTGACGTGAGTGTAGACTCTCATTTTTTCTACATTTCAGTACAATTCTGAGTTTGGCAAGAATGAACTACCAAGTATCTTTAGTTATCTTTTTATTCCACATTTTCCTCGGCTTCAAAGCCGACAGGGTAGGAAGAATCATAATACATGTACAGTAATTATGCATTTCACCAAACTTTAATTATCACACACATACTCAGTACCGTATTAAAAACTGTACTGAAAATTTTTGTCTGTCAAGCCTAAACCATTTGCAGGTGTTTGTGGAATAATTACCACAAACTTCATCACAGTAAATCAACTAAAGAAAAATTATGGTAATTATTTATGACTTCACAGCTGCTAATTTTTCGGTATTATTTTACTTCAGGATACAGCGAGCCCCAAAGTTATAAACTACTGAACCATTTAGATCTCCCTATTCTGAGCATTTTGAAACCCATTTATACTAGTCGGAAATGGAAATAGCGAAACAATTTAATCTAATTAATTTTAAGTACTTTTCAGTCTTCGTCTCTGTGAAGAGATGTTATCTGCGTGAAACCGAGTTAATTATGCATCACACATGCGCAATATTGACTGACGTCATCCAGTCGTGATCAATATCACGCGATTTTTTTTTCGACCAATCACATTTGAATTTTTTCAAAGGAAGCAGCCTGGGTACGGATTTTAATTTCAATGACCAGTCTGACAATGGCTGTGGTGGTGGTTGGGTGTGATTCGTGCTCCTACGATTTTAAGTTTATTGCCAAGTTTTACGAGAAAGACGATCATTCTATCCACTTCTAAGGTACAGTATTGTATTTTCGGACATGGTGCGCCCCAAAGTTTTAAACTACTGAACCATTTAGGTTAGGTTAGGTGACTCGTTTTCGTGTCTCCCCCCCCCCCTCCAAAAAAGCCACAATTTCACGGTTTTATAGTGAACATTGTCGTAGTTATACAAAATATGTTAAGATGTGATTATTTCTAAATTGAATCTAACCGAACCTTAGATGATGTGAAAAACAAGCGGCAGAAGCGTTGTTAGAAGACCTCACCAACCTAACCTTTCCTAACTTCTTAGCCGTGAGGCTCAACCCTCCGGACCCCCCAGCATATTAAACAGGAAGAATTTACTATTATATGATGTACAGTCTCGTACAAGATTCTTCGAACACTGCTGGAGACAGCTGGCAACTCAAGGCCGTTTGTTTACTATAGTACGAAGTAAAAATTATGAATAAATGTAAAAGTGATCGGTGATTGGTTATTTAGTTCCCCGTTGCTTAGTTAATGGTGGGGGCTTTGTTGTTTCATATTATATTATACTACGTAGTAAAGTAAACAAACGGCTTTGGGTTGCCAGTTGTCTCCAGCACTATTCGAAGAATCTTGAACGAGACTGTACATGTAATTTTACGTTTTTTGTGAACATGAAAGCAGCCACCAGACCCGTGTTGTTCATAAACATAACCTGGCGACTGGCGTCAATTGATGATTGGCTGTGTACCGCTGCATCATGCCGAGAAAGACAAAGCAGTACATTACATGCATAGTCACCTAATTGTCTACCAAACGATGTAATTTCCATAAAATTATTATTATATCAGAACTCCGTGATCAAAATATAATAAGAATATAAACATCAAAACAAATAATGCGTCGATTGTGAAGTTCCCCAGTTTAGCCCAAATTATTTTGAACCGATGTAAAACCCACATTAATACTTATAAAAGTAAATGTGACAAGTGTCTGAGGTGAGCAACAGGTTATACTAACCTCAAGTATTTACACTGGTAAGATACTGAGAGAGTAGAGGACATGGCCTATTTGTCACATGAAATGGGTCCGACTAATTACCCAAATGTAGTCAAATATAACCGGAATGAAGTCAAATAATGGTCCTAGATGAATAAATCGGACTGCCAATCACTTCTCGACTAGTATTTGGTGTCACAAAGTCACAAAAAATTGGTAAACCTAATTTAATCTGAGTTAATAGATTGAGTGCATGTACCGGGAGAGGAATTACCCAAATGTAGTCAAATATAACCGGAATGAAGTCAAATAATGGTCCTAGATGAATAAATCGGACTGCCAATCACTTCTCGACTAGTATTTGGTGTCACAAAGTCACAAAAAATTGGTAAACCTAATTTAATCTGAGTTAATAGATTGAGTGCATGTACCTAACCTAACCTAACCTCACCTCGACTAGTATTTGGTGTCACGAAGTCACAAAAAATTGGTAAACTTAATTTAATCAGAGTTAATAGATCAAGTGCATGTACCTAACCTAACCTAACCTAACCTAACCTAACCTAACCTAACCTAACCTAACCTAACCTAATCTAATCTAATCTAATCTAATCTAATCTAATCTAATCTAATCTAATCTAACCTAACCTAACCTAACCTAACCTAACACAACTCAGATTAAATTAAGTTTACCAATTTTTTGTGACTTTATGACACCAACTAATAATCGAGAAGTGATTCACAGCCCGAATTATGCTTGTACGACAATCAGTTGACTTCATTGCAGCTATATCTGGCTACATTTGGGTACATTTGGGTAATTAGTCGGACCGCATCAAATTGGTTCTACATTTTTTCACAGTTGATACCAGACCCGTTGATTACAAATATATTCAATACACAATTACTTCATAAACAAAACACTGTTCCACCAACTGCGAGGTTAGTGTAGCAGCTGGTGGTACACTAGTTCTTAAAATTTACAGTAAAGGTGTCAAATGATTTTGAAAAGAACCCCCTAGGTATTCAGCTCCCTTAGTTAGCCCACCTTACTTCTTACCGTTGTGTATATCTGCACTGTTTATATACAGATTGAACCAATGTGAACTTATATGACCATTTTACTGAACAATATATATCTATCTACCGTGTTAATGGCATATGAAAACGAGTACGGTCATCACACTTTGAAATAGCTCTTACTACATGATGGGTAAAACCACATCTATACCACACCCTATGCAGGTCATTAGTAGAGGCTGCAGAGTATCTAACTAAACATACATATATAAATTACGTAGTTTAATATTGTCAGTAGCCAGCGAGTCGTCCTCCAGCTACCTTCACTGTTGACAACTTCACTCTGGCTCACTTAATTTGTAATATAATTCCGATATAAATATGTAATAGTCACAATACTATATCATAAATACTATATAACACACAATTAAAATAAATGTACAAAAATTATTTTAATAACATCAATATTACTCTAACTTTTGAATTTTTCTTAGTGGATTTTAACTATTTGACACAGAGAATAGAGACGTTGATTGACGGGTGACTACAGTATACCGTACAGGCGGCCTCGGTCACTGTCAGGTCCAATTGACGGTAAAAGGAAGGAGACATACTTAAAGTCACACTTAATTACCCAGTGGGTGAGTACAATGACCAAAGTAGCTGGTTAGATTCTTTTGTTACGTATTTTATTCGACATTTTCTCCAATGCCTGGAAGCCGTGCCCACCAAGGTCAAGGTTAACAGGGTAGGAGGGGTAATAATCCAATAATTATGCATTCATCAAACTCTCATTACCAACACTCCACATTATTTTTTGCTCCGAATCGGCAGTTCACCAATTAAAGTGACAAATAAACAAACAGATTCGACAATTATGACCATGAATACAGTACACACTTGTCATCCGAAGTGGCTATTTCTCCATTTCAAACGACGTCTTTCATTATTTTAGTATAAATTGCTCTTGGATTTAAGGAAGCATAAATTAATCGAAGTGGGAATTTGCACCGACTTTCGCACTGACAACCCGATCTTCTTGATGAAAAGAATTGTGTGTAAATAGTTTAACCATTGTTTGAACCCGAGATTTCAATACTATTTTTCTAATATTATAAGAATTTGGACAAAACTCGGGTGCAGATAACAGTTTCACTATCTCTTAAGCAAACCAATAGGTAAGGTTAGGTAGGTTTCTTCGGTTAGGTACCAGATATGAAAGTAAGTTTTTCTGCTTAGTATGGCGGGGGGATTCTTGGGAGTTAAGTGTGGTTAGGTTAAGTTAGGTTCGGTATCAGATGTCAAAGTGCAAATAACTTCTGCCTCAATTGATTGTTGTGTTGTAGTATCATCTCCTCTGACGTTTTCTATTATAAACTATTTGGTGATATCGAGTCGTAGTTATGAAATAACTCGTTAAAAGGTTGAGGAATAATTACAGGGAAAGATAAACCCACTGACTTGTACTCCTGTGATTGTGTTGGCAAAACCTTATGTAGAGGCTGATGGAGGTTTTCAAGCTGATGGGTAGAGCCAGTAATAACGAGCAGGACAAACCAGAGTTAACATTCTGTAGTTGACATGGACGGTACTCTATACTGCTTTTTATACAGGGAGATAGTGGAGCATACGGTGACACCAGGAGAAATTTGTGGAATTCGTCCGTATTTTCCACAGTTGTTCTTTGGATGATATTAACTAAAAAAATCGATACGAGAACTGTTTATTTTAATTTTAAGTATATATACCTATATACTGGAGCAGATGGCTAACACCAGAAGTTGTTCGCTTTCGTTCAAGTGTTCAATCCAGCCACCCACCATCAGCTGCTGTGACACCAAATTGTATAAAATCGTTTTAGTATAGAGTGGGTTGTGAGCAGGTGGTGTGTTGCTGTTAATGCTGAACCTGCTGCTGTTTATAATGCTGCAGCTGGCTTCCCAAACATTGTTATGACTACAATTTATGTGCTATTGGAAGTGCACTAGTTTACGTAATCCGCCCGCCCCCCTCCCGTCTGTGTGTGTGTGTGTCAGGGGGTACGGTAGTCAAGAACGCTATCCATCACTCCAGCGAGATGTGTTCCATTACTTTTTTTGTGTGAATGCTGAAGAAATACACTACGCTCCCTCCCTCCCTTCCTCAAACCTCCTACTTACCCACCCGTCCTTCCTCCCACCCACCCACTCTCCCTACCTCCCTCCCACCCACCCACTCTCCCTACCTCCCAACCACTCACCCAAACATCCGCCCACCTCCCTGGAGAACCCGCCCGCGTGGAGGCAGTTTTCGCCGTCGTAGTAGGTGATAAATTGTGAGGGATGGTGACACCTGCCTGGAGCACCCGCACCCACACTACTGCTGCTGTGTTGCTGTGTCATGTTAAGTGTTGCTGTGTCAGTGTTGCTGTGTCATGTTAAGTGTTGCTGTGTCATGTTAAGTGTTGCTGTGTCATGTTAAGTGATGCTGTCATGCCAAGTGTTGCTGTGTCATGTTAAGTGATGCTGTTTCATGTTAAGTGTTGCTGTGTCATGTTAAGTGTTGGTGTGTCATGTTAACTGTTGCTGTGTCATGTTAAGTGATGTTGTGTCATGTTACGTGTTGGTGTGTCATGTTAAGTGTTGCTGTGTCATGTTAAGTGATGCTGTTTCATGTTAAGTGTTGCTGTGTCATGCTAAGTGTTGCTGTGTCGTGTTAAATGTTGCTGTGTCATGCTAAGTGTTGCTGTGTCATGTTAAGTGTTGCTGTGTCATGTTAAGTGATGCTGTTTCATGTTAAGTGTTGCTGTGTCATGCTAAGTGTTGCTGTGTCGTGTTAAGTGTTGCTGTGTCATGTTAAGTGTTGCTGTGTCATGTTAAGTGTTGCTGTGTCATGTTAAGTGATGCTTTCATGCTAAGTGTTGCTGTCTCATGTTAAGTGATGTTGTTTCATGTTAAGTGTTGCTGTGTCATGCTAAGTGTTGCTGTGTCATGTTAAGTGTTGCTGTGTTGTTGTATCATGTTAAATATCGCTGTTGTAATAATAATGTTTTATTTTTTTATTTTTACGTTGTGTTTAGATTATACTATTCTCTATCTCTTTATTGAATCTCTCTATTTATTTCTTATTCTCTCTTAATTCTTCGTTCTTAATTATTTTGTTTCTCGGTATTCTCTCTTTCCTATTCTACTTCAGCCTTTCACTTACTTTACCGTCACTCGAAGTTATTGTTCACGACTCAAGAATTATATTGAATCTCGAGTTCGTCTTTAGTGGTGGAGGGAGGGAGGTAATGTTGGAGAGACAGAGAGGAGGCAGTAAGGGAGAGAAGGTGCCGTGGTGGAGGTGTTTGAGGAGAAGAGAAGAATGGTGGTGAGATATGGGGAGACATGGTGAGTCGGGGAGATTAATAAGGTAGGGGGAGAATGGTGAGACGGGGAGATTAGTGGTGAGATATAGGGAGACATGATGAGACGGGGAGATTAATAAGGTAGGGGGGTGATCGGAGAGAGGGGAGAATGATGGTGAGATATGGGGAGACAACGGTGAGATGGGGAGACTAACAAGGTAGGGGGAGATTGGTGGTGAGATATGGTGGGGGGAGATGTAGTCACCACCTTCCACTTCTACCACAGATGACACATAAGAGGGGGGGACACAGGCGACACATAAGAGGGGGGCACAGGTGACACATACTAGGCTAGGACACCTTTCACCTCCCAATAAGGGGGGGGGGGGATAGATGGTGTCTCTCTCTCTCTCTCTCTCTCTCTCTCGTTAAGCCCACTACATACATCATAATTACATCCATAATTTATATATGTATATGTAATTTATATTCCGTCGGATGGTTTAGTGTTTTAAACCCTTGATGTATATTTGGTTGTTATAGACGAGTGGCGAATATTAGCGGGGTAATTTGTCACGAGTGTGTTGGGAGGCTGCTCATCTGACCTCATTGATGTAATGGTTTATTTTATATCTAAGAGTGATGGTTATTGTGGTGTGTGTGTGTGTGTCTGGCTTCGTCTTTTTCTTTTAGTTCATCTCTCTCTCTCTCTCTCTCTCTCTCTCTCTCTCTCTCTCTCTCTCTCTCTCTATTTACACATACTTAGCATACCGTATCGACTAAACTCCACCCACACTTGTCGTCCTCAGAAATCGTAGCAGTTGATTGGCTGATGGTTGTTGCTATGGTAGCCAAAACGGAGGTAGGCTTTAGTATATGTTGGTTCATATAAGGTTAGGTTAGGTTAATATTAAGGTGGTTAAAGTATTCGCCTTAACTGTTGAAGTGTCTTTAATTTATAATTTTTATTTTTTTAAACGTGGATTAGCCCACCCGGGCACAGGTCACTGACCCACATCGGGGCCTGGGAGGCGAAAATGTAATAATAACAATAATACCCGTAATAATAATAATTCGTAATAAATACAATTTAATACAAAGTACAAAATTCAAAATAAAATTATAAGATAATGATGATAATAATAATAACACTGTAATAATAATAATAATAATAATAATAATAATAATAATAATAATAATAAAGAACCATAAAAAAAGATCAAGAGTGAGAAACAATATATGTATGTTGTGTTGTCAATAGTAAGAGAAACAATTGAGACCCTGCAATTGTGTGTAAATGTGGCAGAAAGTCAAATCAGCAACCTGGAACTCGGTTACAATTTTCGTGATGCCATATGGCAGCAGGGTCTACCATTAGAACACACACACACGTTGAGACAAGTACACACCTGTTTGCCGCACCAGTGATACTACAGCCTAATAAACACACACTTAGCTTCCTGTGGTGTGTGACGTGTGTAGCGCCGACTGTGTGTGTGTGTGTGTGCTGGGTGTTAACAGCTGCCTAGCCAACAGACGCGGGAATTAAGTGCCTCTGTTTGCCGTTGGGGGTTGTGTGTCGAGATGTGAACAGATACCGAGCAAACAGACGGAGGATGAAGTGTCTGTGTTTGTTGTTACTGTTGTGTGTTTGTTGTTACTGTTGTGTTTGTTACTGTCGTGTGTTTGTCTGTGTTTGTTGTTACTGTTGTGTGTTTGTTGTTACTGTTGTGTTTGTTACTGTCGTGTGTTTGTTACTACTGTTTACTGTTGTGTGTCGAGGTGTAAATAACAGTCCTGTTTGCTGTTCCTGTTGTAACTCTCACCATCGTATACAGAGTGAGAAGGGCGGACACTTCCACACACTTGTTACACCAGTAGGAGAGGCGGTGTGTGTGTGTGTGTGTGTGTGTGTGTGTGTGTTTATTTATTTATCTGATACAGTTGTCCTATTAATACATCTCTCAGGCCCGATTTATTTACTTTTCCTAATATAGTTTTTCTTTATCAATAC